TTTCTTTTTTTTTTTTTTAAATATTTTATACTTCTAAAAATAAATTGAGAAGGAATTGTTTTGAATACTGTACATGGTTAGAGAACAACTATGTGACTGAATAATTCTGTGAAAAGCCTTCTTGAAGTTGTGAGTTACTTAGAAATGAACAAAATTTGTAATTAGGCTAATTAAGCTAGTGATTCCTATATATTTTGTACTCACAGGGAACTAACTGACTAAATAACTTGAATGCTAGTAGTCTGTCCTTTCGTAGACAATCTGTTCTTAAATTTAAAGACTTCAGTACTACCAGCCTTTATTATATTATTTACATATGCATCGCTTTTGAAATGTAGTATGTAAATGTATGTAGTGTATTGTTTACTAACAAGATTCTTCACATTGTCTCATGTAGTCTAAATTTGTAAATACTGTTTCTGTTTTGTTTCTCCTTTATAAATTTTACTGTCTAACTTTGTGATACGTGATATGAATTTTATGTTAAAATTAAATGTTTTCTTGGAACATTTTTGTAATTACATAATTGAGAATTTGGAATGAAATCCTTTAAATGTCAAAAGCTCCCATTTTAAAAGCAGATTTGGTTGTGACTTACTTTGTGTACTTGCCCATTTTCCATAAACTGATACCAATGAGCGTGCTTTTAGGATGAAAGGTGGAGTGGACAGACTTTGACCTGATACCAAAATACTTGGTGTATCCAAGTAATTTCTGGCTTTGATTCTAACTTTTTGTGTGTTCCACCTCCTGTTTTCCCCCGAAATAGCTCTTTTGTAGGGGAATCACAATGACTTCTAACACCATGTTCTCGGAGTTAGGCCAAACTTCACAGGGCACAGTCCTCTGCATGACTCCTCTCACTCAGCATGGTCCCCAGGCCGTCCTCACTTACTACAGCGTACTGCAAATTCCCACTTGTTCTTAGCTTGACCAGTTCGTTTGAATAACTCAAAAATCACTAAAAACACCATGGATAAAATTGTTTTATTACATAAAAACAGAAATGAGAACCAGCCAGAGGGAAAACAGTACAGTGTGAGATCTGAGAAAGTGCCAAATACAAAGCTTCCATTGTCCTCTGCCTGTGAGAGATCTGGGAAAGTGCCAGATGCACATGCCATTACCCTTGCAGCACATCCCCTGTGACAATCTAGAAACTACTGGCAGGCAAGGAACCTCGGTGTCTAGGGTTCATAATTGAGGTGTCAGCACATAGGCATTACCTTGTGATTGAACTCCATCTCTAGCCACTTTCCCTCTTTTGGTGGTCTGGCTCTCACCTGGCTAAAAGTTCCAATCCGCTAATCACATGGTATGTCCTTCTGGTTAGGCCAGCCCTCATCTTGAGGCATCTTAGTATAAGCTATTTGTTGTGGTCCCAGGGATCCCATGGGGAATGCTAAAGATTTAGAGGTTCTCTCCCAAAAACTCAGAGCAAACACTATGTAGTTTTGTGAATACACAAGTTAGAGGTAGCCGAATCACACAGATAAGCAGCTGCCACGTAGACCATGAAGATAAACTTTTCTTTTGACACATGTCAGAAGGGCCTGAAATAGTGTACATTTGCTCACTGACATGCTCACTTGGTTCTAAGTACAAGGTCATTTTCAAAAATGAAAATGAATACATCAGATCACAAAATTGATGACATCCTCGCTGCCTAGTTGCAGAATGAGGGTCCAGCCACATTAACATACAACATGAATAAGGATGACAGAAGAATTTATGCCTTTAAACTAGTGTTGGAGAAGTGAAGTAAATACCCCATGGACTGCCAGAGGACATACAGATCTGTCTTGGAGGAAGCAACCGAAACGTTCCTTACAGGCGAGGTTATTGAAACTTGGTCTCTCACACTTTGGTCATGTTAGGATCCAGGACTAGTCATTGTGAAAAGACATCATTCTGAGAAAAATGGAGGGTCAGAAAATGAAGAGGACCCTCAACAAGAGGGGCTTGAGTGTGACAGAGTGTGTGGATGGTGTAGGAGAGGGCAAGGTTCAGATGTTCCTAAGGTGGCTGTGAGATGTTACTGACTTGACTGCATCTAACAGAACTAGTGATGCCTTTCACACCAACTTTGCTGCCAAATGTTACATTAATGCACAAAAGAAGGGAGCTTTGAGTTCATGGTCAGGATTTGTGCTGCCATCCCAAACGTAAGTGGTTCGAATCCACCAGAAAGATGGGCAATTATCTCTGAAAACCCACTGACGAGAGTACGTAAAAAGAATGCACAAAGTAGCCTGATTTTACTATTGTGAATGTGAAATACTGAGGACCAAAGTAGTCAGTAAAAGAATAATTCATTTTTCTGTATATTTTTCACTTAATAGCTTAGTATCAGGCTACCAAGTCCTTCTAAATTGGCCCTATCAGTTTTTTTCTCCAATAAAACAGCAATTGAAAAGTAGAGTAGGGAATAAAGGCATGCTCTCTAGCCAATTTTTCTTTGTTTTTCTGAGTAACTTGTCCAAGTACTTAAGACACCCTGAATCTAGACTCCTGCCCAAATCCTTGCTCTTCAGAATGCAAGCTGGCTTTTCCACCAACATTCTGATTCTCTTAGCATGCTAAATGAGTGATCTCTGGTTCGCACCCTGTGTCACTCAGGCGGCATAGTCTGTAGGGAGTTGTGCTGCTAAGGCAAACGTGGTGTCCCTTTGGCCACTTGAGATCCATCCGTGGCTCCTTGGGGAAATGGTCAGTCTGTGGGATTCACAGGCTCTGAAAACCCACTTGGAGGTCAGCTGTGAGTTGATTCCAACTCAATAGCACTGAGTTTGAGGGTTTTTTGTTTGGTTTTTTTGAGATTTAAAAAAAAATTTTTTTCCTAATTATTTCTGTCAGTACACCATTAAATAGGACTTGACTGGTACAGGAGGAGATTGTCCCTCCTCCTCCAGCAGAGCATTTGGTGGATTCAAAGCATGCACCTCTGAGATTTCAGTGCAGCTTCTTGCCAGTAGGCCATCAGCGTTCACCCAGTTTGAGTTTTGAATTCAGACTACAAACTTCCAGATGAATAAACAAAAATGGAGGTGTTGTGCAATACTTTCTTACCTTAAGTCTCAAAGATGGTCTCATATTCTGTGACATTAGTCTCTTGGAAAATGGTTAGTACTGCTGGCCTGCTGTTCTCCACTCTCAATCTGACCATGCTCTAAAAGCTAAATCTGTGGTGGGCGGGATACTTTCCATGTGCTAAACCGAAGCTTCACATTATATTTGCACCTTAAAATAATGGTTTAAACAGTGGTTCCAGAACAGAGCAGTTCAATAAGCTTTTAAATCCTTAACAAGTTTAGTTCCATATAAATTGCAGGGAGGGTGGTATGAGGAGCGGGGCCTGACAGTGAGGTATCTGGAGTTGTACTGGGGAGACTGGGCGGATGGTGTAGGGTAAGGTACCTCTAAGTTGGGAGTAATAACTGAGTTAACCACATAACCAAAGATTGTGAGCAGGATCCTTGGGGAACAGCAAGGCTGAGTAATCGAGCAGCCAGGCTGCGGTTCAGAGTGCCAGCAAAGCATGTGTTTCAACAGCGCTGGAGAAATTGAAAAATGTGTTTGAGGGCTTTGTTTTTTTAAAATTTTATTTTCTAAATTTTAATGAACATTTACAGAGATTTTGGGTTTCCATTCATTCATTGCCGCACTTTTCTCCCTGCTAGCCCTCTAGTTCGTAAATGAA